GCCTGGTCCCCCTGCGGTTTCTGCGTGCTGCCACGGCTATTGGCGCCATGGTCTGGGCCAGAGGCTCCACGGTGCTTCTCCGGCACAGGCCCCACCAGAGTCAGCACGCGCACGCCACCAACCGCCCCCCAAGCCGCCTGCGCCGTCCTGAAGCGGGGGCACCTCTGTCAGCTCCCGCCCTAATTCTAGCCACGGTTTTTACGTCATTGCTTCTGCAGGCTCAGCCGCGGCTGACGCACCTGTCTGGAATTTTGATTTCGTGTTTTCCCACCGTTCCCCACTCCTGCTGCTCTCCCGGGATCCCAGGGCTCCAGCTGCTGCTCCTGAATGACTGGAGTTCACGACCAAGAAGGCAACCACACGGAAGGCAGCGTCATCCAGGACTGTTTCACATACAGTCTACAATGATCTTAGAAAGTCTGTGTGGGGGCTGGCACTGTGGTGGAGCAGGTAAAGCCGCTACCTGCAGTGCCGGCATCCCATATGGGTGCCAGTTCGAGTCCCGGCTGCTCCACTTCCAGCTCTCTGCTGTGGCCTGGGAAAGCGGTGGAGGACGGCCCGAGTCCTCAGGCCCCTGCACCCACGTGGGAGACGTGGAGGGAGCGCCTGGCTTCAGGTTGGCCCAGCTCTGGCTAATGAGGTCATTTGGGGAGTTAACCAGCAGATCTCCCTCTCTGTCTCTCTCTGTGTCATTCTGCCTTTTAACAAATAACTTTTTTTTTTTGACAGGCAGAGTTAGTGAGAGAGAGAGAAAGGTCTTCCTTCCGTTGGTTCACTCCCCAAATGGCCGCCACGGCCGGCACACCGCGCTGATCTGAAGCCAGGAGCCAGGTGCTTCTCCTGGTCTCCCATGCGGGTGCAGGGCCCAAGCACTTGGGCCATCCTCCACTGCACTCCCGGGCCACAGCAGAGAGCTGGCCTGGAAGAGGGGCAACCGGGACAGAATCCGGCGCCCCGACCGGGACTAGAACCCGGGGTGCCGGCATCGCAGATAGAGGATTAGCCCAGTGAGCCCCGGTGGCAGCCAATAAATAACTCTAAAATAAATCATAAATAAACACAGCACAGTGTTCTAGAAGGAGTAAGGTCCAGAGAGCCACAGCACAGAGGGTGACCATAGTTACAGCATCCTGCTAGGACCATCGTGAGAAACGGAGGACAAGAGCTCACACGTCGCAATCCCAGATGACGAGATGGAAACACTGGCCGGCCGGCGTGAGCAGTGCACGCTGTGCGTGTACAGAACTACCACACTGTACCCCCCGTGAATCCATGCCACTGTGGCTGTCAACTTCAGACAGAATCCTGTCCGTGCAGGAGCCCCCCAGGTGCTGAGCTGCGGGGGCAGGCAGGGGGAGCTCCCCAGAGCCAGCGAAGGCAGGAGGCTCCCAGAGGCAGCCCCTGCCGGGCGCCGGGAAACCTGGCTCTCCTCCCTTTGGTGGAAGAGCAGGGGCAAGTCAGAGCCCGACTTGGGTCTTTCCACAATCGTGGGCACCCGGTGACCCCCACAACAGAAGACCTGGGCTCAAACAACAAACGGAAAACACGTGGGGTCAGAGAAGCTGCCCGGAGTGTGAGCACCTGAGAGGGGCTTGATGATAACTAACTTGTTCATCAGGTGAGATGGGGGCCTCCTGCTCACCCTAGGCACAGGGGCTGCTGTCAGAGCTCGGACCCAGCAGAAGACGCCAGGGAAGGGGCCGGTGACCTTACACGGTCACGACCCAGAGCTGTGTGTGTGCCAGTTTCCCCTCATGGGACAGAAGGCACGGAGAGCGGGAGCGTGCCCGTGCTTGGACGCGAGATGCTGTTTCCAGCACACCCTGGCAACCAATTAAACTACAGACCATCGCCCAAACCGCATCAGAGCCCCCCCCCCATCCTGCTCAGCTGCGGCCACCCAGGGCCCGAGGCACACGTGTTACCTGCTCATTACCCTTAGTGGGGTTTTCACTTCAAAGTGAAACATCAAAGCATACACATTTACACGGTACCAGGTCGTTCCATGCGTGTAGACGTTATAATACACAAACACGACAGAGACCACGAAACAACAGCCAGAACAGGTGTACCCAGAGACCAACCTGCGCGGGACCCGCCCCCCCCTACAGACTGGGGGTCCACATAGCACAGGCTGTTGTCCCTTCTGGGCGGGCGAGCGTTAGGGGAGCCAAGCTGGTTTGTGCCGGCTTTTAGGCGGGCTCGGGCTAAGACGGCCGCCTCACCTCTGCTCGGGACCCAGCGTGCAATGTCCAGACCAGCGTTCACAACTCTGTGTCCTCAACGTTATCACTGGACACCTACGTGTTGGGATGCACACGGAAAGTGAGCCTAACATGTACCATAACGGATGGTCAGGGACAGCCGGGGCTTCGGCACCCATCATGCACTTGGGCAGCTTCCGGCTTTGGAAACGAGACCCTCTCCTGGAAGTGCGTGACTAAGGGGTGTGGTTTACGCTTCTGGAGTGGGGTGGACTAATTTGCTTGACTGAAATGTGAGAGTCTACTTTCGTGATCCAAAGCTTTTTGAAATGAGCCCTGTTCATTTCAGGGTTCATGATGTTGCCTGATTTTATTTATTTTAGAGATACAGAGACAAATCTCCCGTTCACTCATTCACCCCCAAATGCCTGCAATGGCCCAGCCTGGGCCAGGCCAGGACGCCATCAGCGTCTCCCACGGGGGCGGCAGGAACCCACGTACTGGAGCCGTCAGCTGCCGCCTCCCAGGGTGCTCACCGGAGCAGGGCGGGCCGAACTCAGGCACTCGGGTCTGGGACACGGGCTAATATTTTAGACTTCATCAACACAATCAACTGCACCTGTGTGGGAGACCCAGGGACGCTCCTGGCTCCCAGATCCTATCATCAATGCCGGTGACAGCCAAGGTCACACCTGCAGTGGTAATGCGGTAATACTTCACTACGGAATGACACTCAAGACAGCCACCTCCTCTGTGGGAAGGCTCTGGCCAACACAAGAGGACTCCTTCAGGCCGGAATCACAGCAAGTCTGAGCGGATTGTGGAGGGCGTGGCGGGGGCGGGAGGCCTTGCCCATAAAAGCCCCAGGGAGCCCGCCCTCGGGAAGTGCTGGAGGCAGAGAGCTGAGCAGGGCCAGGTGAGTGCAACCGTAGGGGATTTCTTTTTATTTCTCAAACTGGCGCCAAAGGCAGAGGGGGAGAGCAGGCCTGGGGAGTGGAGTCATAGCTTCACGCGTCTTCACCGTCTTCACGGTAGTTTTCAGTCACTGATTTATTCATGCCTTAGGCTCCCCTATGGGTGTTGTTTTTCTTTTAATTCATTTATTTGAAATGCGGAGTGATATGGAAAGCAAAAGGAGAAGGGGGCCAGGAAGGGAGAGAAAGATTGAACTTGTTCCCCCACTGGTTTGCTCCTCCAATGGCCAGGACCGTCCTGGTTGGGCCAGGCCAAAGCCAGGAGCCCCGAACTGCTTCCAGGTCTCCCACCTGTGTGGCAGGAGCCCAAGTACTCAAGCCGTCACCCACCGCCCTCCTTGGCGCCTAGGCAGGGAATGGGATCGGAGCGGGGAGCCGGGGCTGGCACTGGCACTGCTGTGGGACACGTGTCTCAGGCGGCTGCTTCATCCACTGCATCACAGCGGGCGCCTTGCCGTGCCACCCTGCCCCGTTCCTGGCGTGAGACCTTGGGCTTGTCTTTGCCTGCTCACCTGACCTCGCAGAGCCCCGAGGTGCATCCTCTGTGTTGCAAATGCAAGACTTCGCCCGGTTTGGGGAGACTGCTGCTCCTTCACGCAGGCCATTTGCATGGGCACGTAACACACATGTGTGCGCACACGGCACAGTTACAGGGCCCCTTCTACCGCCACGGACACGGGCTGTCTCCACGTCTTGCCATACAGTGCTGCCTGCAACGTGGGAGGGAGGGCGGCCGTCTCATCCAGACGCCGCCTTGGCTTCTCCCTGTGTGCAGAGCTGGGGTCAGAGGGCAGAGCTGTTGTTAACTTTTGGGGATCCTCCAACCCGTTCTCTGCACGGTGCGGTACCATTTGTGTTTCTATCGACAGCACACGAGGGTCCCCGTCTCCCCGCATCCACACCAGCGCCTCTGACCGTTCACACCAGCACCCGACAGGTATGAGCTGATGTTTCGCTGTGGGTCTGGTTTGCTTGTCCCTGGGGAGGAGTGGAACTGAGCCCCGTCTCAAGAACGTGGCCGTGTGTGTGTTCCTCGGGGGATACCTATGCGTGTCCTTCGCCCATTTTAAAATTTTTTTTTTTTTGCTATTGAACTGGATGAGCTCCTAATTACATCGTTTGGACACTGACATCTTATCAGAAATAGTCTTTGCAAACATTGTGTCCCATTCCAAAAGCTGCCTTCTCATTGTTGCTTGTTTCTTTTGCCGTGTGGAAGCACTTGTCTTTGTAAATTTTTGTTTTCATTGTTTGAAAGGCAGGGACCTGCTGTGGCCTGGGAAAGCAGCGGCCCCTGCACCCGTGTGGGAGGCCTGGAAGAAGCTCCTGGCTTCTTCTCCCCGTTGTGGCCATTTGGGGAGTGAACCCCCCCCCTCACTTTGCCTTTCAAATAAATAAAATATATATGGAGAGAGAGAGACAAGGAGAGAAACAGATCTCCCATCTGCTGGTTCCCTCCCCAAATGCCTGCAACAGCCAAGGCTGGGCCGGGCTGAAGCCAGGAGCCTGGAGCTCCACCTGGGCCTCCCAGGTGCGTGGCGAGGGTCTGAATCCCCGGGCCGCCTTCCCCCACCTCCTGTGGTGCAGAGGAGCCAGGACTGCCACGTGCGGCGCGGGCGGCCCGAGCTGCATCTTCACGGCCGGCCCAGAGCCCACGGCAGCACCTCTGGTTCGGCACAGTCCCACTTTCACTCTCCTCGCTTCTGTTCTCATGTCTCTGAGCTACAGGCTTTTTGCCACATCCAATCTCAACAGCTCAGACAGGGGAGCGTCCCCGAATCCAGATCGGCACCGCCCTACAGAAACACAGTATTACATTACATTTGCTGGGGCCGGCGCTGTGGCACAGCAGGTTACAGCCCTGGCCTGCACTGCTTGCATCCCATATGGGTGCCGGTTCAAGCCCCGGCTGCTCCTCTTCCAATCCAGCTCTCTGATGTGGCCTGGAACAGCAGCAGAAGATGGCCCAAGTCCCTGGGCCCCTGCACCTGTGTGGGAGACCCAGAGGAAGCTCCTGGCTCCTGGCTTCGGATTGGTCCAGCTCTGGCCATTGCAGCCATCTGGGGAGTGAACCAGTGAATGGCATATCTCTCCTTCTCTATAACTCGGACTTCAAGTAAATAAATTTTAAAATATATCTATCAGGAGTCTGGGGCCATGAGCTGTTGATATCTGTGCTTAGGTGGTGTCTTCAATACCTAGTATGAGTGATTGCAAGCATTAGGCCCACGCCATCTCTATTAGTCACTCAACTCGGACACTAACACACCTGTCTTCCCTAGGCAGTGGCCATGGCTGAACACTTTAAAGAGGCATGTAGATGTCCTATCTGCTCCGGTCACCTCCAAAAACCCGTGTATCTGAAGTGTGGTTACACCTGCTGCCTGCGCTGCACCGACTCCCTGCAGAGGGAGCCCGACGGGGAGGGTCTCCTGTGCCCTGGCTGCTCTGTGGTCTCTCGGAAGCAGGACATCAAGTCTGCGTTCCAGCTGAGGGACCTGGTGGACGCCGTCAAGGAGCTGGAGCCCCATCTGAGCGCCGTGCTGTCCATGAACCCCAGGATGCTCAAGTTCCAAGGTAAGTCTGCCATCGGGGCCACGCAGGGCTCCGCAAAGGCAGTGCGCGACCCCTGTGGTCAAGGGAGATTCTGTGCCTGAACTTCTTATACCTCCTACAGAAGCAACTGTTCTCAACTGAGAATGGAAACAACCACCGAGAAAGGTTTATGAAAGGGGCCAGTGCTGTGTGCAGCTGGTTTAGCCGTTGTCTGTGGCGCTGGCATCTCATATGAGTGCTGGTTCGAGTCCCGGCTGCTCCAGCTCTCTGCTGTGGCCTGGAATAGCAGTGGAAGATGGCCCAAGTCCTTGGGCGCCTGCACCCACGTGGGAGGCCCAAATGAAGCTCCTGGCTCCTGGCTTTGGCCTGCCCCAGCCTTGGCTGTTGCAGCCATTTGGGGAGTGGACCAGTAGATGCAGAATCTCGCTCTCTTGCTCTGTGTGTCTCTGTAACTTTGCCTTTCAAATAAATAATAGAAATCTTTTTTTAAAACATGGTTATAAAAGTATAAAATTTAGGCCATGCCCTAGCGCTATTACACCCAATAAGGAAGCCACTGGTAACTAGCTGTTTTTTGTTTTGTTTTTAAGATTTGAGAGAGAGGAGAGGGAGAGGAGAGGCACAGAGAGAGAGAGAGAGGTAGGTCTTCCATCTGCTGGTTCACTCCCCAGATGGCCACAATGGCTGGAGCTGTGTCAATCTAAAACCAGAGCTGCCTCCGGGTCTCCTGTGCAGATGCAGGGGCCCAAGGACTTGGGCCATCTTCCACTGCCTTCCCAGAGAGCTGGATTGGAAGTGGAGCAGCCAGGACTCCAACCAGTGCCCATATGGGCACTGAAGGCGGTAGCTTTATCCACTACGCCACAGCACCGGCCCCATGGTAACTAGCTGTTTAAATGTGGCTGCTTACATATGTAAAGATATTTTGAATTCATGAGAATTAAAGAAAATGCACTATTAAGTTGTTTTTTTCCTGTGTGATTGCATCCAGTTTTGAAATGAAACGTGGTTTGCAATGCGATTCTCAGACTCAAGCATCTACAAATTAGTTGAGGATCCTGTTGAAATGCAGACCCCGGTGCTGTGGCCCCCGGCTTTCCTGAGAAACTGGATTTCTGACCTTCAGTCGCCAGTGCTGCTGGTTCGTGAGCCACACACAGCAGTGACAGCCGGCAGCTGTCGCGACCCGGGAAGCCCCAGACACGCTGACCATAGTGAGCGGGGCAAGGCTGGGGCAGCTGCCCGGGGCTGTCTGTGGTCAGCTCCTATGGCCCGGTCCAGGTTCCAGGCCTTAGCCCCGAGGTGTGCACGTGCCTCTCTGAGCCAGAACAGGAGACGCAGTGCCTGAGTCCGTATCGCACCGAGTTACCCGCAAGCTGAGCTGCACAGGTGCAGCGTGGTCAGGACCCAGACCAGACGGCCGGGTTCCTGAACCAGGCCCCCGGAGTGTCCTGGCTCACGGCTCCCCGACCTGGTCATGGAATCGGGGCCAGGCGTGCTCTGCTGGGCGTTCACTCTGCAGTGTCAGTGGGGAGAGACGCGTCTGTTCCATAGCACCTGGGTTGGAATGGCGACTCTGTCCAGATGCCTTCTTGCTTGTCAACTCTGTAGGAAGACTGGGTGTGGCCTCTGAGCCGAGTCACCAGGGAGCCGAGGAAGGCACTGGCCCCGAGATTCCTTGCAGAGGTGCCCACGGGCTCCAGACACGGGCACGTGCCACAGAGCACCCCACGTCCCCGCCCTGACAGCTGGGCTGGTTGGAGATGGCGCCACACGCCACAGCCGCTCTCCTGCAGGTCACCTGCCCCTCAGCACTGCCTCGTGCCGGCTCTGGAGCAGCGGCTGCCCTGACGCCCAACGCACCTGCACCCGGGCCGGGGCGTCCTTCCCTCTGAGTTTCCCAGAGCTCACCTCACCCCTGGACTTCTGCAGTCTCTCTCCATCTTTTTATAGCACAGGAGAGCAAACCCTGCCATGTGACTCCCTAGGCAACAGGACGCAAGGGCAAGGGGACAAAGTGGAAGCAAACTGGGACGTCCACCACTGATCTGCACCCAGGAACGCTTCATCATTCCATTGAGCAGATGCCTGTATCCTCTCAGAATTGTGATGTGTCATAATCTTGAAAGTAAACAGTCTTCCTGTTTTGTGCTTCAAGAGAAAAATCTTTAAGTGATCCAATAATTTAAAGCAAGAAGCAGCCTGTGGGAATCAGACTTGCAGCAGCCACAGCTCCTCATTCTCTGTATGAGATGGGATGCAGCGAGGGCCCGGGAGGCTTCCCTGGGGAGATGCTCAGGGCAGAGAAGCCGAGGGGGAGGGGTGCGTTGTGAAGAGTCTAGAACGCGTCGGCTGAACTTCCGGTTTTCCTCTCCGCAGTGGATGTGACCTTGGACAAGGACGCGGCCCACAAATGCCTGGTCATCTCTGAGGACCGGAAGACCGTCCACTGTGGGCTGTACAAACAGACTTGGAGGAAGTATCCCGAGAGACATAACTACACGTTGTGCGTCCTGGGCTCCCCGGAGTTCACTTCTGGACGCCATTACTGGGAGGTGGACGTGGGCAGCAGCAGAGAATGGAACGTGGGGGTCTGCAGAGAGTCGGCTAACCGCAAGGGGCCCGTCCTGCTGGCCTCGGACCGCGGCTACTGGACCCTGGGTTTGCGAGAAGGTTGCTTCTTCGCCAGCACCACACCTCTCACGCCTCTCTTGGTGGGGCCCTCATTACAACGCGTGGGGATCTTCCTGGACATGGACATTGGGGTGGTTTCCCTGTATAACGTCAGAGACGGGTTCCATATCTTCAGTTTCACCAAAATTTCCACTAAAGAACCACTGCGCCCATTTCTCGCCATCGCAAATGCAGTCCGTGATGCTCAAGGCTTCCTGAGTATCTGTCCTGCGAGGGGTCCAGACCTTGTCAGTCCTCCACCCTAACTCAGGCAAAGAGAATACAACTGTGTCGACAATGACGTCTCCAGGGAATTGCTGTGTGGTCGTAACCGGAACGAGGGACGTTGATGCTGGGTGTACGTGTGTACAAGAGCTAACCAGGAAACAGTCAGTCTATGAGTCAGGAACACAATATTTTAAAGTATTATACATATTAGTTTTGCTTTGTGAAATTGGGGTTAACACGAAATAAGTTCAGATTTCATGGGCTTTAGGTATAGACGCACAGCATCAACCCCCCCCCCCCCCCGCCGGCCACCGCTGTCCCATCTCCCCATCCTGGCTGTGGCGACTCTGCTGCTCCGTGGCCCCGGGAGCCGGCACCTTCTCCTCCTCTGCACTTGGTGCCCACCCCCACACCCCGCACCCTGCCCAGCGCGTCGGCTGACCTCACGCAAGGTGCTGTTCTCCTTAGGACCTGGGTTTATATTTTGAAACATTTTGAAATTTCAGCTCCATTTCCACGATTTCCCCTTTGTTGTCTGCAAGACCTACTGACTTCTATAGGTACTAAAGTGTGAGCGTCACCAATAAATGATATATAGAAAGATGCACGTGTGTCTGTCCACTTTTACTCAACAACTGCAGCGTTTACCTCAGGAGGACAGTGAACGCTCCCCAGGACAAACGTGCAGTCCCACCATCATTGATTTTTAAGTTAAAATACAGATTCTGTACTCAAATCCCAGCAGAAGTAAATATCAATAGCAAGAAGAACTCACTCTACTCTTGGCCTTTATTAGTGTGATGTGCTTCGCCCACGTTTCGTGTTCTCTGCACTCACTCTATTTAGGGATTTTTAGCTCCTTGGAACAAGAGTTTAGTATCTGTTCAAAGAGCCGGCAAGCTTCAGGCTGAACTTCCCCACTGATGCCGCTGCTTCCCTCCTCCACGTCTGGGGCTCCAGCTACACGGAGGTCACAGCGCCACCCTACAGACGCCTGCATGGCCCTGCGGCCGCCTCAACCGCCTTGGAACTGTGCTGGACAAGCGTGATCGTCACAACCGCTTCCAAGCGGCCAGCGGACGGCGTCAGTGACCGCGCCAGGCTCGCCGGCCGGCGCCACCGCCCATCTCCACACGTCTCTCCACCCTTTCAACACGGCCTCCACTGCCAGTCCTCCTGCCTTTCCAGCCGCCATCCTATGAACCTGACCTTTCTAGGTCACCTCGTAAAAATGCAGTCGCACAGTATTTGTCTTTTAGTAATGGCTTCTTAGCAGAACCTCTTCAGATCCACCCGTGTTGACAGCTCAGACCACGGAGAGACAAAGGATCACAGGAAACTACCAGGAACACCACAGGCCAACAAACTGCATTCTCCAGAAGAAACTGCTGAATTCCTAGGCACACACAGTTCACCAAGAGTGAGTCATGAAGTAGAATGGAACGGACCAATAACGAGGAGACTGGATCAGTAATGAGAAATCTCCACGGGCCAGCGCTGTGGCGCAGCGGGTTAACACCCTGGCCTGGAGCCCCAGCATCCCACGTGGGCGCCAGTTCAAGACCCGGCTGCTCCTCTTCCAATCCAGCTCTCTACTGTGGCCTGGGAAAGCAGTAGAAGATGGCCCAAGTCCTAGGGCCCCTGCACCCACATGGGAGACCCGGAAGAAGCTCCTGGCTCCTGGCTTCAGATAGGCACAGCTCCGGCCATGGTGGCCATCTGGGGAGTGAACCAGCGGATGGAAGACCTCTCTCTCCTCTCTCTCCTCTCTCTCCTCTCTCTCCTCTCTCTCCTCTCTCTCCTCTCTCTCCTCTCTCTCCTCTCTGTATAACTCTTTCAAGCAAAATAAATAAATGTTTTTGAAAACAAGCAAGCACACACACACAGGACTGGAAGGCTTCATTCAAGATTCTACCAAACATTTAAAGTTGAATGAGTGTGATCTGATCTCACTCTTCCCAAACCTCAAGAGTGCATATGACCCTGATACTGAAGTCATTTTAAATTGCTACAATAGGGGCCGGCACTGTGATGTAGCAGGTAAAGTGTCACCTGCAGTGCTGGCATCCCATATGGGCACCAGTTCTAGTCCCGGCTGCTCCACTTCCAATCCATCTCTGCTGTGGCCTGGGAAAGCAGGGGAAGATGGCCCAAGTCCTTGGGCCCCTGCACCGACGTGGAAGACCCATAAGAGGCTCCTGGCTTCGGATTGGCACAGCTCTAGCCATTGCGGCCACTTGGGGATTGTCTCTCTCTCTAACTCTGCCTTTCAAATAAGCAAATAAATCTTTAAAAAAACAAAACAACTCTGCGGCATTGGTCTGAGCAATGGTGTCACTGGGTTTGGCCCTGAAATATGGCACTTCCCTAAGTCCCGCCATCTCAGCCGCACGGACAGCGTGAAGGACACCACGCTGTGAGGTTGCTGAGACACAGAAAGACACGGCCACACAATGTCACCCGCCCAGCGTGACATGCTCCTCTACGGAAGTGTAGGGTGGGCTGGCGGCCCTCGGGGGCTGGGGCCGTGGTGGGGACGCTCAGGAGACGGAGGCTAAAGGACACAGAACTGCGACAGACGGCAGCATCAGCCCACGTGAGCTACTGCAAACCACGGCGACTGCCAATAACAACCCTAAGTGTCCTCGGAAGCCTCAGAGTCACGCCACAAAAATAATAAAGATGCGAGAAAATACATGTTAATTAGTTAGATTTGAGGCCAGCGATGTGGCGTAGTGGGAAAGACCACCGCCTGCATTGCTGGCATCCCATGTGGGCACTGGTTCGAGTCCCAGCTGCTCCACTTCCGAACCAGCTTTCTGCTATGGCCTGGGATAGCAGTAGAAGATGGACCAAGTCCTTGGGCCCCTGCACCCACGTGGGAGACCTGGAAGAGGCTCCTGGCTTCAGATCAGTGCAGCTCCAGCTGTTGCGGCCCATTGGGGAGTGAACCAGCGGATGGAAGACCTCCCTCCCCACCACACACACTCTGCCTCTCCTCCTCTCTGTGTAACTCTTTCAAGTAAAATAAATAAATCTTAAAAAAAAAAAAGATTTAGGCCGGTGCCACAGCTCAATAGGCTAATCCTCCGTCTAGCGGCGCCGGCACACCGGGTTCTAGTCCCGGTTGGGGCACCGGATTCTGTCCCGGTTGCCCCTCTTCCAGGCCAGCTCTCTGCTGTGGCCAGGGAGTGCAGTGGAGGATGGCCCAGGTGCTTGGGCCCTGCACCCCATGGGAGACCAGGAAAAGCACCTGGCTCCTGCCATCGGATCAGCGCGGTGCGCCAGCCGCAGCGGCCATTGGAGGGTGAACCAACGGCAAAGGAAGACCTTTCTCTGTCTCTCTCTCTCACTGTCCACTCTGCCTGTCAAAAAAAAAAAAAAAAAGAAAAAAAAAAAAAAGACCCACTCTAAGCTATATATATTAGATACACATATATCCAAAAACATCCTGCTGCACCTGGGAAATACAATTGTATCCGGCAGTTTACACGGAACTGTACACTTTGATACTATGGCCTGTTACACTTGTGCTATACTGGATACACTCTCTAGCGGCTTCCAAAGCTCGCTGCTGAGTGCTTGGACTGGAGGCATTTCACCTCATGCTCCAGCACGGGAACGGGCCCCTCCCAGCAGAGTCTGCCTCCGGCTCCCTGTGCGGGGCACGGGGCCTCGCTCAGCCTCCGCCGCACCTAGAACAACGTCTGGGCTCCTCCGCGGACGATCGCTCTCCGTGTCCTCTAACCAGCGCCTTCGTCACTTCCCCAGAACAGGGGACGTTCAGCGTGGCCAGCTGGGAGGCAGACTCCCCGCCTCCCACGGGCTGGTTGTTGGTCTTGGCGGCTCGTGGAAGGCTGAAGTCTTCAGCGTTTTGAGCGATTTCTGTTTGTCTGCTGTGACTTTTGGAAACTACCTTTGTCAAGGTCGGGTCCTTTCTCCTCCCAGTTCCGGCTGACATGTCTCCGACGTCAGCTCCGTGTTCAGCCAAAGGCTTGACGGCGATTCCCTTTAACGCACAAACTCCAAAGTTCTCCACACTCAGCACAGGTCGGCTGGCTCTGATTCCCTTTAATGCACAAACTCCAAAGTTCTCCACACTCAGCACAGGTCGGCTGGCTCTGATTCCCTTTAACGCACAAACTCCAAAGTTCTCCACACTCAGCACAGGTCGGCTGGCTCTGATTCCCTTTAACGCACAAACTCCAAAGTTCTCCACACTCAGCACAGGTCGGCTGGCTCTTCGTGCAGGCTGGAGGCCGCCGGGGGCTCCTCAGATCTCATCGCCCCCCTCCTCTCCTTCCCTCGCCTCTCCCTCCCATCCACTCTGTCCCAGCAGTCACCCTTCCCTCGGACGGCGCGGCCACACGTCTGCCTGGACTTGTGCTCAACCACGTCTGACCCTGCAGCCGTGGGGACCCACAGTCGGCGAGCCCCAGGTCAGTGCCAAGCCAGACACCCTGAGAACAGAGCTCCCCCTCCGGCCTGGGCAGCGGCGCTGGCCGGGGGCGGGGACGGCCGAGGGTGAGCTCTCACCCCAGCTCTCGCTTAGTGAGATGCAGCCGTGTCACTCGTCACCAGCGTCCCCTGGTCGCTGCAAAATTTTTGTTGGATTCCAGGCTTCCAAAAGGGTTGAACAGGACAGTTTGGGTAGCGGGCGCTTCACTGGGGAGGACATTCAGTGTTCCCTACTCACAATGTCCAGTGGAGCCACCCATCGATGTCCGAGAGAGCTGTGATGGCAGTCCCTCCACGGCCACGTGTCGCATTTCGGTGTTCTGTCCACGCGCTGCCTGTCCCATCAGCCCCATCTCCCCGTGTGGCTGTGCTGCAGACCCGTGTGGAAGTGACCCTGTGACGTTCACACGAGCAGAACAGCTGGCAGCACAGCCCTCGGAGTGCACCCTCATGGCTCGGTGGTGGACGGCTCCACTCGCGTGTGTGCATTTCAGGATGGGGGGGCGCTGTGCACAGTGGGTTAAAGCCCCAACCTGCAGTGCCAGCATCCCACATGGGCACTGTTTTGAGTCCCGCTGCTCCACTTCCAATCCAGCTCTCTGCTGTGGCCTGGGAAGGAGTGGAGGATGGCCCAAGTGCTTGGACCCCGACCTATGTGGGACACCTGGAGGGAGCTCCTGGCTCCTGGCTTCAGATCGGCGCAGCTCCAGCCATTGTGGCCATCTGGGGTGTGAACCAGCGGATGGAAGACCTCTCTCTCTCTCTCTCGCTCTGGCTCTCTCTGTAACTCTCTCAAATAAATCTTTTTTAAAAGTGCTTTTATTTTTTTTTTTTGACCGGCAGAGTGGACAGTGAGAGAGAGAGAGACAGAGAGAAAGGTCTTCCTTTTGCCATTGGTTCACCCTCCAATGGCCGCTACAGCCGGCGCATCACACTGATCCGAAGGCAGGAGCCAGGTGCTTCTCCTGGTCTCCCATGAGGGTGCAGGGCCCAAGTACTTGGGCCATCCTCCACTGCACTCCCGGGCCACAGCAGAGGGCTGGCCTGGAAGAGGGGCAACCGGGACAGAATCCGGTGCCCTGACCGGGACTAGAACCCGGGGTGCCGGCGCCGCAGGAGGAGGACTAGCCTATTGAGC